TTGATATTACTACTATTTCATAAATATTGATGTCAGATGTAGATAGTTTACTACAGGAATTTAGTTTGTTATCGGGATTCATCTCCTGTATTATTCAATTACAGCTTTATATTATCAGCAACCAACAAAAGTCAAGAGGGCAAATTATTTTTTTTAATGTTAAAAAGGCAAAGGCATTAATTATTCCCAAAATTGTTAAATCACAATGAAATTACATAAAAGGCAACTTTATGTATTTTTTGTAAAACCTACCAAGTTTCAGACAAGCCTAAAAACCCGCAGAAGGAGATCTTCGTACAAAATCAAAATGCTAAAAAATCTTATCTACAAAAAGTTTTTTTAAATATATATATATATATTGTATACACTTAACTCAGAAAAAAATATAAGTAAATCTTTCTATGTACACTACAAACTCAGTATACAGTGATCCTTTCTACACAAACTTGGTATAACTAGTGAATCTTTCTACTCAAGTAAATTGAAGATTGTATACAAATTTACTACAAATGCAGTATACAATGATCTTTTCCACATTTTTTAGTTTCCGCGATTTGTTGATTCTTCTTTTGTGATGGTAAATATATTGCCGCCTTTAGAGAGTACTGTGACCTTGAAAGGCAACATGGTTGTTAGCATCTCCTCAAGTGATTAAACATCTTCAACATCTAATTGGAGGCCGGAAAAAAGGACGTTTTTCTCCACCATAAGGTCCTCAAATCCATTGTTGGTCACAATGGCCAATTCCAAGTTAGAAGAATCAATAGAGATACCTTCTACCATTCCAGATTTCATTTCTTCAGGGACATCCACCTGCTGAAAGAGAGTAAGGGAAATAAATAACTATATTTCTTTATTGCCATGATTATGTGCAAGAAATATACACTTCTGTATAAGCTTATAGTCTTGAACTTCCCAATAGGAGTCTATATTAAATTTATTGTAAATAATTATTTTGACGTTCAGGACTGTCAAATTATTAAACGATGGACAGCTAGCAAAATAATAATATCTTGACCATGGTCATACAGAGATTGAATCATAAAGTTAAATTTGTGTGATAAATCTGTGCAGTATGATAATTTATTTTGATGTTTGTATTTCAAAAATTATTTTGACTTGAAAAGTAATGTGTAATTTAATTAATTACATTGGACCGTCATGTAATGGCAATGCCATTTTCATAATGTAATTGTAATTTAATTAATTACATCATCATGTAATTGAACCCATGCCTGTTACAAACAGTAGCTGTCCTAACTGATCCTAAAATTAACTTTGGCTACGTCTATCACAAAATTAACTTTGGCTGTCTATTACAAATGCCACATTTAGCTACAGTAGAGGTATTTCAAAAATGTATGTCATTGTAGCTGAAAGGACATAATTAATGGTTACTTAACCAGAACTACAGTTCTGAACAAACCACTACAAAGCCTGGTTAACTGCACTAAGAAAATGTCCTCTCAATTAATCAATTTCATTGATTATTGACATCTTATTGTTGTACCTACCATCACTTGAGTTTCTTAAAGTTTCAATTTGACTTTTAATAAGGCCCAAAGTGATAATACTGCAATGTCTTAATTAGCTCTCGAGGGGTATTGGTTAGACTATTTATCCCATTTCATTCCATTCACCATGGAAACAAAACTCTAAAACGCTAAAAACAGTCGACAATTAATGACAAATATTGAGCCTAGGGCTGGGTAAAATTGATGAATCAAAAGTGTTGAACTGAAAGTGGACGCAGTTGACATAATACTGAAATTTCTGAGATGAACAAATACAGTATATATATTAAAAGCTCAGGCATAATAAGAATTGTACCAATTACACTTTACACATTCACACTGGGACCTTACACTTTACACATTCACACTGGGACCTAACACTTTGCTAGGTTTATCCTAATCTTCATTAAAACACTTTCCGGGATTCAGATGTTAATTGACATCTTCATTATTCCCAATCTTCATATTGTAATCGTTCACATGCATCACTCTTCAACAGAATCAACGTGACATCATTTCAGAAAGACAAAAACTAAATTTAAGCCAAAACTATATATATTAACTTCACATGTAAACCTTACAATTGGCATAGCTGTAGAGTTCCCGTACGATTTCATACCCTGGACTTGGGGTACATATAAATTATCTCCGATCAGAAATTTGAAAGAGCTAGATCTACAATAGCACGGACAGTGACCGATATCTTAAAGTAAAATCGATATATTACACAGATAGTTTCCTTGATCTATTCACGGTAGCGTAAGTAGTACAGTACAATATTACGGATAAGTTTTTTCTGTTTAACTTCCGATCTGTTGGGCCACTGACAGAAGTGACTGCGATGAGACCATTATGAAACGATCATTCCAAAATAAATCCATTTCAAAATAATGAAATACTTTACGGAAGCAACAAAAAATGTGCTAGATGCTTACATAACATTTTTCAAATGCATACTGCTTCAAAGGGAAAGTCTTGAAAATATTTTGAAAAAAAGTGCCATGGCGGCAGTGCCCAGCTTGCGCGTCGCCGTCGAGCCTAAATTCAATACATGCGATGGCTCATTTCAAATGAATTGTTGCAAAAAAATGCAATTGCTAGTTCAGTATAAGTATTGAATTTAAATTCAGCTTACACACACACACATATATATAGTGATACTTACCTACATAAATTACCCGCCGTCTTCTTTCAGCCGCCGTCTTCTTTCAGGGTCCAGCAGCACTGAGCACCCCGGCTGTTTCCGTCAAAATTTTATGCTACTCTAAATAATTCTTATTTTAGTTTCATTTTTATTTTCAACTACATATTTCAGTATTTTAATAGTTTTCAATAGTATTAAACGTGAAGTAAATTCTCTAAAAAGAAAAAAAAAAGAAAGTAATACAAATGTATATGACACCCACAATGCATCGCGCGGAAAGGAAAGTTAAGCCGCCAAATTGGCATCGCCTCTCAAAATTTACCACCATAAAACGTGAGTCTTTGTCATTGTATTTACAAATTTCGATGTCTGGTTATCATTAATACACAACAAGTAGTGAAGAAAATGCCGATAAGGTTGTTTCATTTAATGACTAGCATCAGCAACTTGTAGGGGCGATAATCCAATGATTACAGTAATGTCCGGCAGATGGAGTAAGAGTAAACTTTCGATTTATGAACCAATGAAAACGAAGTACTGATACTCGGGGGCGACAGCAACATGCTGAAGAGCATTGAAAATGCTCTTAGCATAAAGACATGAAGAGTTAAAATCAAATCAAAGTTCCCATAAGGAAACACAACTTCGTGTCATATTTATCAAGCCTACCAAGGTTGAAGAAGATGGGTTAAAAACTGTGTAACAAATATAGGTTTACATGGAATGGATGGATGGATGAACAACCCATAATAAAATACATGTACATCATGTCAACATTTTTGACTGCATACCACCATTGTATCATCATCACTTGACTGTGTACCATCCTAGGTTCCCAGTATCAACACTTGACCCGGAATATATCACAATCATCATTTGACCATGTAAGGTCCCAACATCATCACTTGACCCTGTAGGATCCCAACATCATCACTTGACCCTGTAGGATCCCGGTATCATCACTTGACCCTGTAGGTTTCCAGTATCATCACTTGACCCTGTAGGATCCCAGTATCATCACTTAACCCTGTAGGATCCCAGTATCATCACTTGACCCTGTAGGATCCCAGTATCATCACTTGACCCTGTAGGATCCCAGTATCATCACTTAACCCTGTAGGATCCCAGTATCATCACTTGACCCTGTAGGATCCCAGTATCATCACTTGACCCTGTAGGATCCCAGTATCATCACTTGACCCTGTAGGATCCAAGTATCATCACTTGACCCTGTAGGATCCCAGTATCATCACTTGACCCTGTAGGATCCCAGTATCATCACTTGACCCTGTAGGATCCCAGTATCATCACTTGACCCTGTAGGATCCCAGTATCATCACTTGACCCTGTAGGATCCCAGTATCATCACTTGACCCTGTAGGATCCCAGTATCATCACTTGACCCTGTAGGATCCCAGTATCATCACTTGACCCTGTAGGACCCCAGTATCATCACTTGACCCTATAGGACCCCAGTATCATCACTTGACCCTGTAGGATCCCAGTATCATCACTTGACCCTGTAGGATCCCAGTATCATCACTTGACCCTGTAGGATCCCAGTATCATCACTTGACCCTGTAGGATCCCAGTATCATCACTTGACCCTGTAGGATCCCAGTATCATCACTTGACCCTGTAGGATCCAAGTATCATCACTTGACCCTGTAGGATCCCAGTATCATCACTTGACCCTGTAGGGTCCCAGTATCATCACTTGACCCTGTAGGGTCCCAGTATCATCACTTGACCCTGTAGGATCCCAGTATCATCACTTGACCCTGTAGGATCCAAGTATCATCACTTGACCCTGTAGGATCCCAGTATCATCACTTGACCCTGTAGGATCCCAGTATCATTATTTGACCCTGTAGGATCCCAGTATCATCACTTGACAATGTAAGGTCCCAACATCATCACTTGACACTGAAGTAGTTCCAGTATCATCACCTACCCTGTAGGGAACCAGTGTCAACACATAACCCTGAAGGCTCCCAGTTTCACCACTTGACTCTGTAAGGTCCCTGTATCAACACCTGACCCTGTAGAATCCCAGTGTCACCAGTAAACCATTTATGATCCTAGCAACACCACTAATCACTGTTTTACTTTTTGGTAGTAAAGAATAAGATATCATTATTAATATAAATACTTTATTTGCACTCAGTATTTGTAAACAAAATATTAATTCACTCCAAGACATTTCAGTATCATCAAGTTAAGATACATGTTTCAATAGAGATTCAACCAACAACCTTAAAATCATAAGGATCAAATAATTACTAACCTCTAAAAAATGATGAACATTTTATTGATGATAAAAGATGAGAAAAATTTGGCAATTGTCTTTGAATATTAATCTTTTAGTGGTCATAGAAACCCAACCAAATTATTGTTAATTGGTTTAAGGACATATGAAACTTGATGCTGAAAACTTTTTTCAAAATAAATCTTTGTTTAGATGATATTTTTTAAAATTTTTTTAATTTTCACCCAAATGTCAAACATTGACCTTTAAAAACCAAATCTTGACGTCAACTACACTGTCACAAAATGTAGTCCACAGGAAATTGACAAAACGTCGTATTTAGTGCTCCACTTTTTTTACAAAATGTACAACTACTGGTAACAAAGCATATTAAAATGCAAATGTATATGATATAATGCTTCAATCTATTTTATATCAATGATGTTGTACTTCCTGTCAAACATACGTTTCATACATCCTTAACACAAAATCAATCAAAACATTTACCTATACACGTAGGTCATTTAAGGGTGGCAATCCCAGGCTTACATTTCAAACAGGGACGTCAAGATTTCTTACCAAAAACATATGCGTATAATTCAATCAAGCAATAAAAATCTTTATCATTTTCTCTAACTTATTAAACTTTACTTCCCTGAGTAAATATATACAACATGGGCCCTTTATTGAGATAAATTGTTTGTTGCTGCTGCTATAATGTTTATTAATACTGATTAAGACATAAACAAACAAAAACCATGAGTAAATAAAAACAAGAGGTCCTCAGGCCTCACATTCTTTTGGCGATTAAATTGAAGTCTATGGAGATGGTGTTACTCTCTTCTATCTTGTTTCAGATATATATTATATTTTATGATGAATTAATTTCCTCTTCAGATCAACAGAATATTTTATCTTTTGTAACAGTTATTCCAGGTACACTACCAAACATGAAGAGTCATTTTAAGTTGAGAGTATTTTCATCTCAATTTTTGTCATAGCAGTTGAAAAAAAAATGTTCTGTCGTAAGGGAAATAACTCTTGCAGTATTTTCAGAAATTCTGTTTTTTCTATGTACAAAAAGGGCGAGTATGAGTATCAGAATGATTAATAATATAGTTTCTTAATTATAACAGAATCTACTCCTCCGCAGCAATCACCATTGTCATCAGGAGTCAGCTTTGCGAAGCTTGAGAGCATTACAAACTTGCTCATATATAAAGAAGTTGGAGGCAGCCATAAAGGCAGCCTTTATGAGACTTGGTGAGAGGCCTTTGTACATTCCTCTCAGTCCTTCTTCTCGTAAAACACACACCACACAATGTATAAACCCACGGTAAGCACGTGTCGAGCCAAATTCCTTACGTATGTGTTCAACACCTCGTATTTCCAATCTTTTTTTAGTCATGTCTAATGGGTAAGCAAGAAATTTTGAGATGACCCCTGAAGCAGCTCCACAAACCAAACTTTCTGTTACACCTGAAAACAACAAGTACATACTGTCTTACATTTATCATATATCAGTCACCTCAATTCAAAACAGTCTTGTTTCATTTTACATTCACATCACGTATCAAGTAACATAAACATATGCTTAAGCCTAAATATCAAACAATTATCAATTTGATCAGTCAAAGAGGTGATTACTTTTCAATTAAAAATTTCAGTCCTTAAAGTGGAAAAAAAAACAAGTAAGCAAATCTTGTCAAATACAGTTACACCACACCTCTTAGAACATCCTACTTTTATAAGTTCTACTATCCTGGTAAATTCATGTAATTTAAGTGAGAAAAATGAGCAGACAATTATTATCAATCTAGACATAAATCTAGCATTAGATAATTTCTAGTCTTCTTTACTAAACCGGTTTGTAAATTTGCAAAAGATTACTGTATCTGAGTTTGTAAAAATCCTGTGACAAGCGACAATATAACACAAACCTCAAGGCTATTGTCCCTTTATCAGTGTCTGTACCAAGCTTATAATAATGACATAATAATGAATAAGACCTGCAAAGATTGCACAAAAGACACATAAACCAAAAGCACATTTTTTAATACAAATTGAAAGGTGTCAATGTCCCTCTATCTGAGTCTTGTAACAAGTGACACCGTAAAATATCACCAATCAATGTCCTTCTTACTGAGTCTGTAACATGCTTGTAACAAGTGACACCGTAAAATATCACCAATCAATGTCCTTCTTACTGAGTCTGTAACATGCTTGTAACAAGTAAACACATACCCAATGCCCCTCCAAGGGGTTTATGTTCCATCCACTGCCACATTGAGGTGAGACCAGAGTACAATCCAAATTGCAGTCCTATTTGGAAACTTGTCTGAATGAGGGCTGGGCCCAATCCTTTGTATAGCCCTGGAATCCCCTCTGTCTGTTTAATCTGGTTCATTGCTGACAACAGGCCTGAGTAGGTCTGGTACAGAAAAATATATGTATGACAGCCAATGCACATCAAATCAGAACAAACTTAAAAATAACATGGACATGGACATTGTAATTATATGTCCAAATGTCCCTTGCTTATCCATAGGATCAGAGTGAAGCAAATATGTTACATTTACAATATTATATTCAATATTCTGAAAAAACATAGGTGTTAAAGATGATATACATAGATTCTATAGGTGTACATATGCACTTCTCAAAATCTTATTATTTTTTTTTTTTTTTTTTTGTATGTTTCTTTCCAATACCAAAAAGGGAGTTAAACGTGACAAAGATTACAAAATTTGCCAGTTTGGCCAAGATTTACTAGGTGTAACACATGGTTGACTCCATTACAGTTAGCCTAACATTTGTAATTTGTTTATAATAGAAGTAGATGAAAAACCTTAAACATTTTACAACTAATTAACAAACTAATTGACAAAGTCCAAATAAAAGTTCCCTATTGTGAAAATCACAATCTGAAATGTGTTAGATTGGCTAGGAACAGATTTAAATATATTCCAGGTGTGGTTACAACAGCACAATTATTAAGAGAGAAATTAACCTCAATAACAAGCTGAATGCAAAACTTCAATATTGATTTCATACCAAAGTAAGTCTAATTACCCACCAAGTAAAGGCTGAAATCATGATTGAAATCATGTGCTGAGATACAGGTTTGGTGATTATAGTATTTGTAATTATTGAACAACATTAACACAAATAATGATCACACAACCCCCATCTCTACTCCATGGGCTCATTGCAGTTGTAAAAGTTAAATTGCAATTAATATTCATAATTAAAGAACAATTATAATGTCTATCAAATATTGTATTATTTCATTACCTTGACAGAGCCCTGAGCAATGAAGCGTGTCCGTAGAACATCAGAGGGCTGGGCTAACATTGTGCCTGCACAGGCGGCCAAACCTCCACACACAGTGTGAGTCAGGGGACGGTACTTCGTAGAGTATTCTTCGGGTAGGTGTTTCCATGCCAACTTTGTCAGGAACTCAAAACTAACAAACTGTAAAAAACAAATTAACTGGTGAAAAAAGAAAAATCAACTTTAATCAATTTGGAAATGTCACAAGATAGACATTACTACAGAATTAGATTTCATTTCTGCAGCAAAGTTTACATAAGGTCATAAATTTCATAAAATTTACCGTCTTATTGTTGGTACTTTTCTAGTTAGGTGTTTAGTTGTAAATAAGTAACACTTACATTTTATGGTAAGATTAAGATTGAAATACAATGATCAGTCCTTGGCTCAGGTTATACATTCAGTATCTGATCATTTCTGGCATTCTGTTAGTAACAGTGATCGCAACAGTGCTAACAACTGGGGTTAGGGAAAAGTTCAGTATCCTCCAGCAAATAGAACAGTAAGAAGTTGAGCAGGAAAAACTTCCCATAAGTACCCAAAAACATAACCTGTAGAAATTGAAAAAATATGGTGTATCTATTTTGTATCTTACTGGACTGACAGAAGTCATGGGGACACAACATTCAGATTGTACACTTAACAGAACCAAGAGAAGCCATGATGGCTTCAAATGATGGTCATATACCTTACAGAACTGACCAGAGCCAAAAAGACATGACATACAAATTATATACATTACAGAACTAACAGGAGCTATGTGAACAAAACAAAGACATCATACTTAACAGAACTGACGGGAGCCGTTTGGACAAAACAAATAGGTCATATACCTTACACAATTTACAGGAGCCATGACAACACAACAAATAGGTCATATACCTTACACAATTCACAGGAGCCATGACAACACAACAAATAGGTCATATACCTTACACAATTCACAGGAGCCATGACAACACAACAAATAGGTCATATACCTTACACAATTTACAGGAGCCATGACAACACAACAAATAGATTGTATACCTTACACAATTTATAGGAGCCATGACAACACAACAAATAGATTGTATACCTTACACAATTTATAGGAGCCATGACAACACAACAAATAGATTGTATACCTTACACAATTTATAGGAGCCATGACAACACAACAAATAGGTCATATACCTTACACAATTCACAGGAGCCATGACAACACAACAAATAGGTCATATACCTTACACAATTCACAGGAGCCATGACAACACAACAAATAGGTCATATACCTTACACAATTTACAGGAGCCATGACAACACAACAAATAGGTCATATACCTTACACAATTTATAGGAGCCATGACAACACAACAAATAGGTCATATACCTTACACAATTCACAGGAGCCATGACAACACAACATACAGGTCATATACCTTACACAATTCACAGGAGCCATGACAACACAAAATACAGGTCATATACCTTACACAATTTACAGGAGCCATTACATATACCTTACACAATTTATAGGAGCCATGACAACACAACAAATAGGTCATATACCTTACACAATTTACAGGAGCCATGACAACACAACAAATAGATTGTATACCTTACACAATTTATAGGAGCCATGACAACACAACAAATAGGTCATATACCTTACACAATTCACAGGAGTCATGACAACACAACAAATAGGTCATATACCTTACACAATTTATAGGAGCCATGACAACACAACAAATAGGTCATATACCTTACACAATTTACAGGAGCCATGACAACACAACAAATAGGTCATATACCTTACACAATTTACAGGAGCCATGGCAACACAACAAATAGGTCATATACCTTACACAATTCACAGGAGCCATGACAACACAACAAATAGGTCATATACCTTACACAATTTACAGGAGCCATGACAACACAACAAATAGGTCATATACCTTACACAATTTACAGAAGCCATGACAACACAACAAATAGATTGTATACCTTACACAATTTACAGGAGCCATGGCAACACAACAAATAGGTCATATACCTTACACAATTCACAGGAGCCATGACAACACAACAAATAGGTCATATATACCAATTACACAAAATATAGGTCATATACCTTACACAATTCACAGGAGCCATGACAACACAACAAATAGGTCATATACCTTACACAATTCACAGGAGCCATGACAACACAACATACAGGTCATATACTTTACACAATTCACAGGAGCCATGACAACACAACATACAGGTCATATACCTTACACAATTCACAGGAGCCATGACAACACAACATACAGGTCATATACCTTACACAATTTACAGGAGCCATGACAACACAACAAATAGGTCATATACCTTACACAATTCACAGGAGCCATGACAACACAACAGACAGGTCATATACCTTACACAATTCACAGGAGCCATGACAACACAACATACAGGTCATATACCTTACACAATTCACAGGAGCCATGACAACACAACAGACAGGTCATATACCTTACACAATTTATAGGAGCCATGGAGCCATGACAACACAACAACACAACAGACAGGTCATATACCTTACACAATTCACAGGAGCCATGACAACACAACATACAGGTCATATACCTTACACAATTCACAGGAGCCATGACAACACAACATACAGGTCATATACAAAACTTACACAATTTATTGTGTGTAGACATGGAGACAGGCTAGAAACCATGACAAAACAGACATTGATAATCTAATATTACATATTTGCTAACAAGAAGTGGATAACACATGAGTTATTTACATGGTCTAATGCACACACATAGTGGTAGATTAGGTGGTTTACGACAAGCTAAGGTTTTGCTGACCTGTCCTGCTAGACGGTATTGGTAAGCTTATGTAATTAACCCGTGAGCGAATGTATACTGGACATGTGTGATAGATTATTAACAGAAAGTATGTTCTGGCTTCTGGACAACACGTCTGACTTATGTCTAGTAGAATACAGTTTTGGATAGTTTAATTTAACTTACATATTAACTTTTAATAGTTCACTTACACAATTTACAGGAGCCATGACAACACAACAAATAGGTCATATTCCTTACAGATGAGTACACAACATACATGTTTAGGTTGGAGACAACATACCTGTCCATCCCCATACAGAACTGACAGAAGCCTTGAGGGCATGGTCAAGATACAGGTCATACAAGTTTAGGTTTGAGACAACACACCTGTCCAACCCCCAAAACAGAACTGACAGGAGCCATGAGGACATGGTCACGATATAGGTCACACATGGTTAGGCTGGAGACAACATACCTGTCTACCCCCATACAGAACTGACATGAGCCACAAGGACATGGTCACAATATAGGTCACACATGGTTAGGCTGGAGACAACAAACCTGTCCAACCCCCATACAGAACTGACATGAGCCACAAGGACATGGTCACGATATAGGTCACACATGGTTAGGCTGGAGACAACATACCTGTCTACCCCCATACAGAACTGACAGAAGCCACAAGGACATGGTCACAATATAGGTCACACATGGTTAGGTTGGAGACAACATACCTGTCCAATCCCCATACAGAACTGACATGAGCCACAAGGACATGGTCACGATATAGGTCACACATGGTTAGGCTGGATACAACATACCTGTCTACCCCTATACAGAACTGACAGAAGCCTTGAGGACATGGTCAAGATACAGGTCACACATGTTAACGTTGGAGACAACATACCTGTCTACCCCCATACAGAACTGACAGGAGCCTTGAGGGCATGGTCAAGATATAGGTCACACATAACGTTGGAGACAACATACCTGGCCAACTCCATACAGAACTGACAAAAACTGAGCAGGCACATGTCCCTTCCATAGAGCTCTGAGACTTTCCTCCTTGATAATGGTCCTAGTAGCTTGGTACATCCCCCAGTACTTTGAAGAGTTTTTGGGTTGGATGGGCTCTATTTGCAGCTGTATATACAATCAAAAAAGTAACAGATCACAATTACAGTAATAAAACACTTACAGTTAAACATATATAATTTTCTTTGTTTTTGAATCTGCATTAAAAATATATATATATGTCACATAGTCCTTGATATAGAGGTTAAGAATATTACCTACAACTTTCCTGATCTACATGAATGATTAAATGTCCCAAGTGATGTTGAGGTATATGTTAGTGTATTCAAAAATTTTTTCAATCATGTCCTGTTTGCTGTGGACTTAATGAGGCATTTGCCAGTAAAAGTCATCAGTTTAGTGTTCTACATCCAATGAATGTTGTGCTAATGGGCAACTGGTGTGCTAATGGGCAGTGTATGTATTCTGATGTCAAGTTAATATTCTGAAAAAGAAACATAGAATCAGAAATCTTGTTCAACTGCTGTAAAATATTGTTGTTTGCATTTAGAGTTGATGATCAGGTTTATCAACTGGGTTTTCTACCTGTCATAGAGTTGATTTTTTATGGGTGATGGATTCACCTCTGACCAATCAAAATATATTTTTCTTTGTATAGTAAGTAGTACACATTTAATTTCATTTACTATAAAAGATATGATATCTGTAGTGGTTAAATGTCATTTGTAAAGGCTGACCTGAAATCTAACTTTAAGGACATCAAGAGGCTGAAACATGACCCGTGACACTGCACCGCTAACAGCCCCAGCAAAAGCATGCTCTGTAGCTGTCAGCTGGACATTTTCCTGTGGTCGGAATCCAACCATATCTCAAATGGTTTGCCAGCTCTTCAGTTCACGTGGTTCTGAAAAAGCAAGTATTTAATTGAAATCAACATACAAAATGCTATGTCAAAATCAACTATGAAAATATGAAAGATTCAGATAAGCTACACATTCATGTGTAAATGATAACTAAAAAGATAAGTCACTTATCTACATTGTTTATACTAAGGCAAGACACCGTTCACCAATACTCCAGCAATATTTTGAGATTTACACGGCGAAAAACTTGTGGCGGTCGTAGTCGGTACGGCAACTTCAGATTATAAATCGGCCGGTCAGTGGCCTCTAAACATGCATATGTATCTATTGCTAGGAGCACCATGTGTCCCACGTGTTATTCATAAAATCATTTTAATGTAGCATGTACCTCGATCACATAGGAATGCATCTCATAAACTCCATTTGCTGGTAAATTATATACATTTGTTTCATCAAACCTTGTCACATAGCAGCTAACGGTGATATGCAGAAACGGATCATTCTCTCTTTAACATTGTACAAGTTTACAAAACTGAAAGTACGTATGCATAGCGGGAGATAACTCTAACATAATTTTTTTAAGGTCCCACACACCAAAATTCCGATAGACACTAGCCTATGCAGCATACTACGGATGTGTGGCTATGTTGAAGTTTACTATAATTATAGTTATCATTTATAACAAGACATCATAATTCATATATCAAAAATTTAAAAAGATTGCTATTTTTTTAACAATTTGCACTTGTAAGTATTCGGAATCGACTTTTTGAAAGTGTGTTATCGTCACTAAAGTTTGGTAGCTGACACTCAAATTACATTGACGAAAGAGAACATTGTTGCAACAAAGAACACGGCGATCGTATCGAGACTAAAAAGTACAAAACGTGTATATGCATAGAGTTTGAGTTATGAAAAAAATCAATGTTTTGATAAAACTTAAATATATTCTCAAAAGGGAGACCCTGTCTAGAATTTATCTTACATTTATTTTACCTATCTTTGAGTATGCATGCGAAGTGTGGGACGGACGTACTAACGACGAATGTAATATGTTAGAAAAAGCCCAAAGAGAAGCGGCTAGAATTATTAAAGGTTTGCCTTCCTATGTTAATAATGCATCATTATATTATGAATCAGGTTTGGAAACACTTTTCGAAAGACGTAACAGGCGAAAATTTCAACTTTTTTTTTCTAAATGTTTTATCGCCACCAACTGTAGACCAAATTAACCCGTATAGCCTGAGAAATAGAAATAATTTCACTTTACCTAATTATAGATTATCACATACAAATTTGTCGTTCATCCCTTCCACAATTCGTTTATGGAATAATTTAGATTTATCGGTCAGGTTACAACCATCACTTAGTCGTTTTAAAAAGACTTTGCTTTCTGGTCAAAGAGAGTTGACTCCACCCCGTTATTTCAATTATGAAGAGAGAGAAAACTAAATATTATTCATACAAAATTAAGACATGCGTGCAGTTCTTTAAATTACGATCTTTTCCGTGTGAATCTCGTGAATTCTCCAATGTGTTCCTGTGGCTTTGCCTGTGAAGATAACTATCATTTCTTCTTCGTTTGTCCAAATTACCAAAATCAGAGACTTACTATGTTAAATGACTTAAATATACTACGTTTTAATCACATAATTGATATTGATTTACTACTTTTTGGGGATAATCAATTACCTTTAGATATTAATATAGACATTTTTAGAATAGTACAAATTTATATAAGGGCCAGCAATAGATTTACAATTTAAGTAACTACAAACCAGCATTGTATATAGAAAGTTCGTTAGTTATTATGTTTCTGTTGTGTCCGTTATGCCATCACCTTAAAATCTATATAAATGTTAATCGGAGGAGGCGTTGATAATGTTGAAATAACTTGTGCCCAATCCGTTGTTGTCAAATTTTGGCTAATAAAATATGCTTGAACCAACAGGTTTTCCGTCTTCGCGCCTCCTGCTTCGTCCTGGTATCGTCTTACCGACGAACGTTAGTGTAACACACATACTAGTGTACCTACATTATCGTCGACGTTATTATGTAAATGTCTGTCGTGTTCAAGTGGTGTATGCTTTATTGTTTTAAATGGTATATATGTAGGCCAAATGCAATCCAAAATGCAACGATGCCTGTCACAAAATAAAAATCTTCCACTCGTTTTATCAAAGTTTTCTGTTTCGCGTTTACTGTTGGTTGTTCAGCATTTGTGTTTTCCGTTTGTTTTCAACTTTTTTACGTTTGCATTTGCATTCCGAAGTCCAAAATATAAGTACATTGTACACGTTTTTTCCGGTTTATCGACCGTCCCTATTTCTTACCGACTTTTTTTTCTATATTCGCATTTCTCAGGACATTTCAACTCATCATGGAACATCGAGTAATTTATTCCGCTATATAAACGTCGAGTAAGATCGCAGCTTGACTATGCCAGTCCAGCGTGGGTACTACATCTACACAACTACATCGACAAGATAGAAGGAGTTCAAAGACCTACAGTGAGAGGTTGGAGAAACTAAAGCCACCGACGCTGGCATTCAGGAGAATAAGGGAAGACGGCAGAACTGTACAAAATGAAAAGTCAATTTTATGATAATGAAAGTTTAAATGGTATCAAACTATGTAAAGATGAGGCTGATCGCCACAGTGACAGAGGACACACTGAAAAACATTCCATAAGTCATCCTTAAAAAATCTAAGACTTTTTTTCAATCAGTACAATTGCGATTTGGTGTGGACTGCAAGAAAATGCAGTAAAGGGACGGGATGATGATGGAGTTAGTGGAGGTGGTTTAAATTCATGTGGATGTGAGGTTGTCTGTTGTTGGTGTTATGTTCATGAGCTGTATCAAAAAGAATTTGCGAAAATAAATCATTAAACAAAAGTACTGTTCAACAAAAATGTTTATTAAAGTAGAGTCGTGTCCGCGTGACATGCGACACTTCTGTTTGTAGCAGTAAACTTTGAACGAAAGTGGGAGGTTAATGGAACAGCGGATGCCAAGGTGAAGGACGTTCTAAAAATCAACATGGCGGACAGTCTTTTCTGGCGAGTGTTTATATACGGTGTTTGGGGTTTAGTGTTACTGGCCATATGTGTTCCACAATTTTGTAAGTTTTGGTTTGATTTGAAACTGATTATGTCAATGAAATTCTTCATATGGTTTATTGTAGTAGGTTTTGAGCAGTTCTTTCGTAGTTTGTACGTAGACATCATGTCTACATTGGGGCAGCGCTTTGTTACGAACAAGCAGCTGATTGTGTATTTTTGGTTCCGCGCAACCGAGTATACACAGAACTAATGTGGTAATCGTGATTATCCAGTCTAATACTGAATCTTAAACTTTGTTTGATATTTATGGCTGATGATCTGTTATTTGAAACATATTGTCAACAGTCTGTCATTTTTTCATTAACAAGTAAAGCGACATTGTCAGAGAGAGGATGACAATTTAATAGATGGAACCCTCAGAACCCCATTAACGTTTTATGAAGGATTGGTTGATTAATTTCTGTTGCTGGGTTCGATAACCTTTATAATGTGGTATAATTTACTGACTTTGGTTGTACATGTGCATGTTACTGACATGTATATACATATATCGCTGTAACAGGAAGAGATGACAAATCTGACAATACCACAGATATTGTTCTCATACCACTGACAATATGCTAGAGTTACATACACAAAAGATGGGGTGATGATGACACAAATCACACAAAACCTTTTCCACCAAACTCAAACTATGAAGCTTGGAATGGTTTAATTCCACTTACAACTTGTCTTTGATCATTAATATTGTAGATCAGATCCACTCGCGTATACTTTAATATACAGGACATATATGTGTATGAATAGGGTGAAGGATAAAAGCTTTATGTATATTGGTATAATATTCTCCAAAATAAGAGCAATATTGAATGTAGCACATTGTGACCAGTTTAATCTATATATTGACACTGTACAATACAACAGAAAGTGACAACAATACCACAGTGTTTAATACATTGCTGACAATATTCTAGAGTTAATAATGTGGCACTGGAATTCCCACTGACTGATTGTAAAGATGGGTTATTTGAAATGTATTTTTTTGTTTTAAATCCTTTTAAAATACACTTAGTTTCTGTTGTTGTGACGATTTTGTGTAGTCCTATTGATGTTTTGATGTGTTAAAGCACATGTCGGTGAACAAGTAAGATGACAATATAATTATTGATATAAACTCTTAGTTAAAGTGAAATAATCACAGACTGGTGGGAGTTCTCTACAGATGAATCTCCTGTTGATCTCCATCAAACCTTTATCGGTAATGATTATTGGACTGTAATGTTTTCAGCTGATGGGTTGAGATGCTATTGTGATCACTGTGAAGATCTCAACAATACATGTATAGCCAAGCCAAACACCAAGTGTTTTGTCGCATTGAGAGTGTCAGTGGAAGAGGATGGAGAGAAATACGAGATTATGTCCTATGGCTGTCTGCCTCCAGAGAAGGTCACCATGGACCAGGTATGAGGTTTTAGAGATAAAATATGAAAAGTGAGGTCATTGTCAAATAAAGGACGAAGTTAAAAAGATAAGTGCAAAAATTGACTATAACATAGATAATTCATATCCAATGAAAAGTACAATAGATATGCATTTCCAATACATTAGAAAGTAGTATTTGATGCAATAATGCAGAAATCAACAATATTATCAATATGGCATATTTGATCATCATATATTAACCAACATTGGCTCTTTCCAGATATTCAGTTTCCTCACATAATAAGGCCCCTCATTGGCTCACACACTTCAATCAAGGCTAACAAGAGTGATTAATATAACCTACTTGCTTGTTTTGCAATTTTTGTGAAATAATCAGATTTGTATTGTATGTGATAAAAATAGATTTTTTAATGAATCTTGTAAAGGTACAAAACCATACTTCATCATATTTTCAATTGCTAACACATTTTTATCAATTGATTTAGACAACAAGGTAATTTGTTAACATTATATTATGTTGATATGCTCTCCACACTAAATATTTTGGACTTCAGACGACTATTGTGACAGCCAAACTTTTATGTTAACAAATGTGTATCATTGATATTATTCTTTAACAATTCAAGCAGATTAACAATACAGTTTGTCTTTTCTTGGTAAATTTGTTAGCACCAGTAGTCTTCAAACTTTGTTGTCAATCCCTTTCTCATCCTTGATTCAGAATGTCGTGTTCAGATCCAACTCAGAATTAAACATACATGATAAAATAGAGAATGTTTTTTGTTTGTTCTAGAAATAATGTGATGGTCTTGTTTCAGTGTAAAGGCAACCTAGTGCCACATGAAGTAACTAAAGTGGTGGAATGCTGTGACTCACATGACCAGTGTAATCTCCATCTCAACATCACTTACATGGAAACCATACCTCTGGAAGGTATGTGAGAAATTATACTAATGAGTAAATGATGTATATTGAACAGCATAGATATTTTCCAGAAAAAAAAGTCTTAAAGTTTTGGCATTTAACAAATATGTAATCATTGTTAGTCTTGAAACTATAAATTAGTTCTTTCTGACTGTTTTCAACCATTAAATATACATTTACACTGTAAATAGATATTTGAGATTTGAGTCAACAGGCTCCCAAAACATCATGAATATATATGCTTTTACAAATTTTACAAAATTTCTTTCAGAGGAGAGCGCAGATAAAAGAGAAGGAGATATCACTCATCTAGCTCTACTGATATCTGTGTCCGTGTGTCTCATCATATTGATAGTCACTATCACAACTCTCTACATCAGGTCAGTGCTAATCATGCTGAAGAAGTCAGAAACTTTTCAAGTCATTGCTCATATAGCCTTTGATTTGTTGATGGGAAAAGTTGGTATTTGGAATGGGTGCCAATGGTTTTGCATTCTTTAACTTGTATTTTGAGTAATTACTGTATAAATATGGAAATCTACCACTCTTACTCTCAGGTTTCCTGAATTTTCCATTTAAAGGTTGACATTAAAGAGCTTTTAAAACTATAGCAATGTCCTTTCTTTTCAATATGTAGATATTGCAGATTTCATGAAATGAAAGCCTTACTTTTTCAAAAATAGCGTACCATGTCAATCTTATAATCATTATATATAGAATGTTCTTGTTTTTTACCCTTTTTATTCACTATTGTATCACAAAGTACCTGACTTTGTTTGACTTCAGGTGTTTCAAGGATTTTCAACTCAAACAGAACAAGACACAACTGACTCATAATCCATTTATATTGAAAATTCTACTAAAACAACCTACAACTTGTCTCCTTAATGAATATTCTACTACAGATAACATTTCTTAGCTCTGACACAAAATCTAATGGCCTTGACTACCGCCTTGAACAGTACATTTAAAACTTTCCAAGTTCCACTGGTGCCATTGACGGTGCATTTGCATGTGGACATTAGACTGAGGTGTCTCATTATTTGAATTGTACATCCTGATATTAGTATTTTAAGCTGGCGTAAAAACTTTATCCAGGATTCAGGGATTCTTGAATTGCAAATAAGTGAATTCTTAAAACTTCATAACAGTAATGCTGTTTATAAATGCCAATCCAATATTTATGACAGTCACGACTGCCATTTTGTAACATGATTATTATGCAATCATGATTTTCCAGAGAAATACTTACTTTTCCTCAGGTTCCGCCTGTGTACATGTAATGTCTTGCTATATACAAAGTGCTCAATGTTCAAAATAACAATTTTACAGGATTGACATAGTGGTTTGAAACTATGACATATAATACTAGCATAATTAATATTTGTAATACTGGTTGGTGTTTTAGACATCGACGACGTGAGGAATTCCCTGAGCCATTCCTTAAGGAGGAACATGACCAGAGTGAGTCATTTATGGCTCATGGTGACTCCCTCAGAGGACTTATAGAACACACATCTGGAAGTGGGTCAGGATTACCTTTCCTGGTAAGTTCTTTTGTGACTTTGTGATTCAAAATGTATATTGGGAATTCATAATGCATATATAAGATGACATATGATAAAGTTCTTTTTCCATTAAAGTAAGACGTTTCTCACTGACCTAGAAAACTCATACAGTGAAATATCAATAATCAGGTTACCTTAATCTAACATTTTAATCATTAAATTAAATTCTTTTTGTTTTTTTTTTTTTTTTTTTTTTTTGTATTACTGATAGATTGATGACAAATTACTTTAATAGAAAGTAAAATTCAAGTTGATTTGAATTTTTTTTTCATTCTAGATTCAGAGGACTATTGCCAGACAGATAGCTCTGAGTAAAAGCATAGGTAAAGGAAGGTATGGGGAGGTATGGAAGGGGAAGTGGCGAGAGGAAAATGTTGCTGTCAAGATCTTCTTCACCACTGAGGAGGCCAGCTGGTTCAGGGAAACAGAGCTCTATCAAACTGTGCTTTTGCGTCATGACAACATTCTTGGTAGGACACTTTAAATGTCAGAACTTGTTTGGTGTGAATGTACATTCCTTTCAAGTTCTAGAATCCATCAGGTTTACTTATTTTCATGTGTGTACTCTGATAGAATTGTGGACCTTGATTTATCAAGGATCATCCTTGATATTAACATGTTTTTGTTTTTAAAATAGTTTTCTCTCTTTAATGTGAAAAGGAGAAATATTTTTATGAAATTCATGCTTTTGCAAGATTTGGAAATGTGTTTGAATGGATACCTTTTATTCAGGTTTATGTTGATTGTAAAATTTGCTTGATTTTTATTTTCTAGTGGAAACTAACTTGGATGACATTATATTCCAGGTTTTATTGCGGCAGACATTAAGGGCACAGGGTCCTGGACCCAACTTTTCCTCATTACTGACTACCATGCCCATGGTGCCCTGTATGACTACTTGAAGATACACATTCTAGATCATGACGATATGCTAAAACTTGCCCACACTGCCTCATGTGGTCTGGCCCATTTACATACTGAAGTGTTTGGGACCAAAGGTAAGTAATATCTCTCAACAGATTTACACATTTAGAATCTTGCATGAGATTTCATTCAATACACAAATCAAGTCACTAGAATTTTGTGTTTCAGTGAGCCTTGGACAAGCTAAAATGAAAAATTCTTCGACTTGTTTAATTCATTACAAGATCAAGTATTCAGGCGAATGATGTTTACAAACATCTTAACTTCAAACTTCAATTTTTTTTTTTTCGTCTCTATGTCAATGGTCTCCAATCCTATATCACAATGCAATCTCTGTGATATCATTTCATTATCCAAACCCTAGGTAATAATAGGCTATATTACACATGTAAGATGCAAAAATATGTCATGGGTATATTTACTAAATAACAAGGCAATCACACGATGAAGTGTAATAAGTGCTTGGCTTGTACAAATTAAGCAATCTATACACTAATACTGACAAGTTTTACTGTAGTATGATTAAAACTCTTGTATTCCGTAAACCTGGAGTATTTTGCATGTGCAGATTTTGATAATAATTACTCTCAATGTACCAACCTATAAAGGGCAATACTAAAGTGTTCACTATTAAGATTTAGGTGAACAAGGTACACAGGATCAATGGTGATGAACAGTCTCAGAATTTTCTTTTAATGTGTTGCATATTTAATTCACACTGTTACAGAAAGTAATATTTTACATTTGATATATGTGATAGACTTTATCAGTATCTCATTGAATATTGATTTTTAATATTTTACAGGGAAAGCTGCTATGGCACATAGAGACATCAAAAGTAAAAATATTCTTGTGAAGAAGGATGGCAGCTGTTGTATAGCTGATTTAGGACTTGCTGTTAGATATATAAGGTAAAGTCACAAACATAAAAAATTGCCATTTATCATCTTTCACCATTTATAGGGTTTATGTTTATATATAAGCTGATACCCAAACAATCTATAACAGCTAGCAAAAGAAAAAAACTTTATCTAGTTGATGAAAAAATAATATCTTTTATTGGTCTGATAACCCAACCTGTCTCATAAGAGTTATCTTTCTTGAAACTTTTTGGTGTGGTTACTATATTGTATATCATAGTGAGACCAATGAAGTGGACGTAGCCCCTAACTCGCGTTCTGGCACAAAGCGTTACATGGCTCCAGAGGTACTTGATGAGACCATGAACAAGACACACTTTGACTCCTACAGACAGGCAGACATGTATTCATTTGGTCTAGTGTTATGGGAGATTGCCAGACGTTGTGTCTCTAATGGTAAGTTTAAAAAATTATTATTTAAAACTTCTCCAGGAGTGGTTGATATTCAAAGACCAAATAGTTCTACTTTTATCTTGATTTTCTCAGGGTTATTTTAAAAGTAGATGCAACTCTGTTTAATTTCTTGCTAGAGACAAGCCAGATCAACATTAATGTCGCCAGTACTGCAAAAGATTGTCTCTTCAGATAGTTGGTTTACATATTGCTTACAAGTAAAAATGGAATAAATGATAATCATTCAAAATTTCTCTTTTTGTCACATTGTTTAGAATGACCTGACTAATGTCTTATTTATCACAGGTATTGTTGAGGAGCATCAAGTCCCTTACTATGATTGTGTACTCAATGACCCTAGTTTTGATGAAATGAGGAAGATTGTGTGTGTGGAAAAAATAAGACCAGCTATTCCAAACAGATGGTCTTCTGATGAGGTAAGAGATATTGTATTAGTTATAGTAATGAAAATATCATGCCACTGTTAAACACTAGTTAACATTCAATGATTGATTATGAACATGGTAGGGAGGGATCACTTTATCTCACCAGTTTTCTGGTGGGCAATGTCACTTTCATGTAGGGTGGTTAGATGCTTAGTGGTAACACACTTACCTTTCATGTAGACAGAAGGGTTACATTCACTGATCAAACAGGAAAGGAGTCATCTTCTCAATCACATGGCTTTTCCAAGGATACTCTGTTTATCTCCTATAGTAAGACCCTTGGCACTTCCATCCAGACCAACGAAAGTGATTTAATATAAGCTGGCACAATCTATTTCACGTTTGTACTACAACAAAATTAAATTGGTATTTTTGTTTGTTTTTCTGCATATGTGGGAAAGGGGAATTTACATTATGTATGTATATTTTTGAAGTATGGACAGAGATTTCTTGATATGATTGAATGTTGAAACTTCATATGATATACTCAGCATATCTATTACATAATTTACAGTACTTACGGACAATGTCCCGAGTGATGCAGGAATGTTGGGCACACAATGCAGCAGCTAGACTCACAGCGCTTCGTGTGAAAAAGACTCTTGGTAGACTTAATGAGCAGCTTCAGAAATCAACAAAGTCTGACAGCTAGAACTGTGTGTAAACCTCCTAGAGGATCTGCAATCTTCCAATCAAAACTAGCCATACTGATGAAGAGACTGCCATACACATTTCTTAATAACTCTCGGAGATGGAGTCAGGGTAGCATATTGACTGGCCCAGTGTTATCTTCCAGTTCTTGTTCCATTCAGTGCTTGTGAGTAGACATCTACGATCCAAATGCTATATAAATTTTCACAATCCATCAACGTCATAAAAATTGAAGAGTGAATTTAATTTCACATGATCCAACTGTGCATGTGTTTGTGCATGAATGATGGGTTAAAAATTTGTGAATCAATATACTTTTATAACGTTCTGCTGTTCATTCAGCTTAGGCCTTAATATGTTAAAAAAAAAAAATTCCAAAAAAGTGCAGTACAGTTTTAGTACCAAAAAGTGTAAAAACAGTAAACAGTACATGTAAGCATTATATTTATCATAGTTGTTGCTAATGTTGACATGAAATGGACCAGAAAAATCAAAATGGCTTTTAAGTATCATATCCAGTGCTACTGCAGTATCGAAATATTTTTTAATATTGGAGTCTTTATAGCATTGCAATGCCTTCGATAGAAGTTTCTCAATAGTTTTACATCAACTTCAAAAAAAGGATTGCATAGATATGGTAAAGAATAAAAATCTTCCAATTTACAAAACAGATAATGGTTATAATGATGCTGTAATGGTGTTGCCTGAAATGGAATATAAACTGATGATTTATTTTGTTGCATGTTAATTTCTTTGGATTTTTATTTTTTAAAGACATTTTTAGCTCTCAGTTCACATGCTGTATAGATGTACTTAGGGAGAAACAACTTCAATCATTATGTTGTTTATGGAGACATGGCAAATTCTGAAATGGCGACAGAGTTATGTAAATATACAACAGAGTATTAACTATAATTTATCTTTGATCTGACCTAAAAAAAAGTGATACTGTATCCATATTGTTAAATGTTTTGATAGTGCTATTTGTGTGTATGTTTTTTATTGTCTATCATTACATTCATGACCATATATGTATATCATTTACACAAGTAAATGGCCAATTATAGTTAGGCTATTCATTTCAAATTGAATATTTCATTACAAAAAAGCAGTTTGGGTCTGATTTTAATGTTATTGGAGATGATCATGGTGATGCCCTAGCTCCAATAATGTATGATGGAAATTATGATTGAGTATAGCTACAGACAGAATCAAAGGTAACTTTGGGGACAGGGTCACACCATGTCATCATTTTCTTGTCCAGATTCTGTATTCAAGTGCTAATTCTTATTCTGGTGGATTGACATTTTCTAAAGCTGAATAATGTCAACTGCTTGATAAGATGATATCCATTTTTGAAAAAACTTCTCGCAGTTTGTGTTCATATTAACCAAACATTTATCTATAAAATCACTTACAATGAGAGGTCAGTTCTCTTGTTTTATATCCTGACTGAATCAAACTACTTAGCATGTTAGGGGGAATTGACTTGAAAATAGAACTTAAACAAATGAATGATTTCCAGAAAAGGGAACAAGGGTGTTAGTGCATTACATCTTATTTCACTTCAAATCTTACATTACTTGGAAACAATAATTTGTACTATTTATTGAAATAGATTAGAGATAAGGATCTGAAGTAAAGGTCTGAAAGAAGTTTTTTGTCTATAAATTATATTTTTTTAAAGAAAGTATTTTTTTTTTTTGTGTCTTGCTCGCTTATGTTGTACATCAGTAGCAGAAGTTAGATATTGATACCAGTGATTTTTAACGTCTCAATATAACATTACTGAAATATATTACTGTCATCATTTAACAAATGTTTAACTCTTGATCAATTAAAGGATATGGAACACGATTTTGAATGCTCAATATCTCAATTTGCTTTTAACAGATGAATGTCAAACTTGATATGAAGGGCTGATGATAGCATTTTTCTGACTGCAATTTAGAGAGTTATGGCCCTTTGTTCAATTATCAAAACAGTTTCTGCTCTATATCTTAATAATTTTCAACAGATCAACTTCGCACTTAATAGGGATGTTTTTTACCATTATAATTTCGACAAGCTAAATAACTGCATTATGCAGCTGGTAATGCACAGAGTTATTGCCCATTATTTCAATTACCTAAACAGTGTTGGCTTGGTATCTCCAGTAGATTCCAATGGATAATCTTCAAAATTATTTGCCAGCTACTTATTGAGTGATGGCCTGTTTTAAATTGATAGAACAATAACCTGAGTATTTTTCACAAATCATCTTGAATTGTTAACACCATTGACATGCGGTGGTTTACTCCAAATTCCTCCAGCAGTACACAAATGGCACTGTCTGTAAATGACCTTGATGTGTTGATCAGACATTAAACTTTCCTTTTGTTTGCTGTTACAAAATGCTCATTCAATCTATGGCGATGTATTATGTACCACCTCACGGAACTCTTGTTACAATCTTATTCTTTTGTTCAAACTTTTTACTACTTTTTATTTTCACGTATCACAAGAATTGATCTCTATGATTTAATGATGAATGAAAAATCCATTTACTGTTTAAAGAACATGAAACTAAGCTATGTTTGGCTGATCAATGGCTATATGTACAAGTATTGTAGAAGCTGAATATCAACAGGAGGGCACCAGTGATGTCACAGGTCCATCAGCCTCGTTATAATCATATTCAGAACACACAGCTATCGGGTGCCTTATCTCTTAGGTCAGTCAGTTTGGCATGGGGAGGGGTGGTGTCTTGTGAACTACAGGAACCATAGCATTATATTAGCTTAAAATATGAAATTGTGAAAAATCGTGTCCTGTGTTCTTTAACATACTTCATCTATTTCTGAACAGACTATTTGTAAACTGCTGTACTTTAGATAAAAGATATAATTTTCTACAAGTTTAGAGCCTCCCATCATTTTTCATCATGTGTGCATTAAGTCTTTAATTTAGGATTTAGGCTTATTTTTTAGTTTTTAGATTTGGGGTTGTTTTTTTTTCTCAAGTCTTAGTGTATAGAGAAAATATGTTGAAGAAATCATTTCATTTTCATTTTTTTTTCATTTTAATGCTTAGTTATTGTCATACATATTTGTATTGGTTTTGAATTTAAAATTAATTCTTTGTCTTCATTTCTTCAAAAACTATACATAAGTAATTTTTCTGTTTGATTTTTAAACAAATGACTAGTTATTCTAGAGATACTGCATGCATTTGTACAAAAGCAAATTGTTAGTACCAGTACATTGTATCATAAAAAAGAACACAGCTGTGATAAACCAGTCAAATATAATGCTGGTGGTGACAGAATCCACAGGATTCATTGAGAATTTTATGGCATATTACACTATAGAGCCACTGAATCAAACGATTTATATGCTGTAGTTGTAGTAGAATAATTGTATATTAAGTGTTCACTTCTTGATACAAATTTACTAGTTATACATGCTGAAATGTTCCAACTTTCATTGTATTTAACTGGATAGGAATACATCGACATTCTGACCACATTTTTTAGGACAGAATTCTCAACCCAGAGTTTATCAGCCAAGCCCGGTCTTTCCTTTTCCATTGTTTATATCAAAGAAAGATTGTTTTTGAGGATGAAAAGGATTGTTTTTGAAGATGAAAAAGATTGTTTTTGAAAATGAAACCATGTAAGTGATCTACCCAGAATATATGGCAATATTGATTTGAAAAAAACAGTCCATGTTGTAATATAGAATTGACAGCTTGTATCATGATATTAATCTCTGTTTCCTTTTTGTATACATAAATTACCTCTACAATTTAAAATATGTGTCACTTTTATGTTTTTAAGATGTAATACCGTATCATTTTTGCTGTTACCATGTTATATGGAATCTTTACCTCAGTCTGTTCAGTCTGGATCAGCCAGTATTTATGTGTATCTTGTAGATAGTTGTATTTTATAGATTTTCTTTTTAATAATATTCATACATATAGAAAAACAATGCTCTGCTTTATTGTTTGTTTCTAATAAACGTTCAACGTGAATGAAAATTGAAATTCCCAATGCTTCTTTGATTGAATTTGGGCATTTTGTTGAATCTGATGCTAGGTATGAGTCTTAGAAAAAATGGCTAGTATCTGAATGTGCTGTTAAGATAAGCAGGATTTGATTGTGATGTTTTTCATGTTCTTAACTTGTACAATTGTTCCAATGTATCAGTATTTTTGGTAAATACTGCTAATGGTCTCTGGTGTCTAGAGATGAGACATGTGCAATGATTGATAACACGGAAGGAGATGCAATATTGAAGAGGGATTACATTGTAGTGCTGGAGTCTGTGTTACTACAAATAATGATTAATGGGATTTTTGACAAGACATACAATGTTGATGTTTCACCTTTTGCGTGATCCTCTGCTGCTGTAGGAACAGATTTAAAACAGTACAGTATTTTGAAGTCATCTGTATGTTATAAGTGACTTATGTATGGTGAGTATTACATGTTTGATGGTTAGAATGCCTGTGGTAAGACTGTATGAATATACATTATTTAAAATGTGAATGGCAAAAAGTTGTATGGACAGAATATGTATAATTGTGTTCAGTAAGAATGTGTATGAAGCAGAATGTATGTTACACATCACATCCTAGATTTTGTAAGGAGAGACGTTAGAATGTGTATGGAACAGAATGTGTTACATTTGAAATGCATAGATTTTGTAAGGAGAGACGTTAGAATGTGTATGGAACAGATGTGCTCTATATCCACTAATTATTAGAGTAGTACTATAATATATATATATATATAACTATGTGACAGTCTTGCCTGTTAATCATACAGGTACATTTGTATATAAATCAGTATGTGATTTCAAATATTATTTGAGAATTTTTCCCCCATGTCTATATATGCACCAAGCTTTTAGATTATTTTGCAAATTTGTCAGAATTATGTGATGATTAAACAGAAATCAAAATGACTGTCAGAGCTGAGGATTTTTTTTATGTACCCCAAATTCGGAAGAATATCGGGACTTTTTGATTAATATATTGTACATACTATGTATATGATATAATTAGTTGTATATGTACAAAATGAAAACATGTAATGTGTCAGTAGACTCATAAATTTAATGTTTATAATATGGATATACTGCATATAGGGAAATTTAAATGAGTTGTCCTCACATCAAACTATTCATGTTTGTTGAGTGTTAAATGAATCCTAAATTACATCATATATATATATTTCAACTCCAACATCAAGCTATGGTTCACCTCAACAAAAGGGTGAAACAGACAAACATGAAACTGTGACTAAAAAATCCCTGTGTACAGTATATTCCCAGAGTCAACTCTTGAGAGATTTTCTGCTGAACATGCATTTCTTTTGCTCTAAATCTCATTTATCTAAATACCAATATGTATTTTACATAATAGATTAAGTGCCATTCTTTCTATCTAAGGCAATAACATTTTTGGATAATTTCTTTAATGAGTATGATATCTTGCCGATGATTGGTTGCTATAGTGATAATCACATAACTTATAGTAAATTGACATGGTGACAAGGTAAAAATTATCTTCCATTGCAGACAGTTTGTAAACATCTTTGCACAATAAATAAAGCTTACATGTCTATTTGCTTGTTGGTGAATTATATTGAAGTTTCTAGAGATTTAATTGTTTAGCTACAGCCGTGTCCTACATCTCATTTGATGAATTATGTCTACTTATTCAACACTTGTACCCAAATACTATGAAATACCTGATAATGTGACTAATGATGCGATATATTGCCTCCCTTGGTGAGATGTGACTAATAACTCGATATTGCCTCCCTTGGTGAGATGTGACCAATTACTTGAGATATTTCCCCTTTGGTGAGACATGACTTGTTAAAAGAGATATTTTCTACCTTGGTGAGATGTGAATTATCACGAGATATTTCCTCGCTTGATGAGATGTGACTAATTACTTGAGATATTTTCTCCCTTGGTGAGATGTGACTAATTACTGGAGATATTTCCTCCTTATATGAGATGTGACTAATTACCGAGATATTTTTTCCCTTGGTGAGATGTGACTAATTACTGGAGATATTTCCTCCTTATATGAGATGTGACTAATTACCGAGATATTTTCTCCCTTGGTGAGATGTGAATTATCACGAGATATTTCCTCGTTTGATGAGATGTGACTAATTACCGAGATATTTTCTTCCTTGGTGAGATGTGAATTATCACGAGATATTTCCTCGTTTGATGAGATGTGACTAATTACCGAGATATTTTCTCCCTTGGTGAGATGTGACTAATTACTGGTGATATTTCCTCCCTTGATGAGATGTGACTTATTACCGAGATATTTTCACCTTGGTGAGATGTGACTAATTACTGAGATGTTTCCTCCCTTGGTGAGATGTGACTACTTACCGAGATATTTTCACCTTGGTGAGATGTGACTAATTACTGAGATATTTCCTCCCTTGGTGAGATGTGACTAATTACTGAGATATTTCCTCCCTTGGTGAGATGTGACTAATTACCGAGATATTTTCACCTTGGTGAGATGTGACTAATTACTGGTGATATTTCCTCCCTTGATGAGATGTGACTTATTACTGGAGATATGTCCTCCCTTGGTGAGATGTGACTAATTACTGAGATATTTCCTCCCTTGGTGAGATGTGACTAATTACTGAGATATTACCTCCCTTGGTGAGATGTGACTAATTACTGAGATATTACCTCCCTTGGTGAGATATGACTAATTACTGAGATATTTCCTTGTTTGATGAGATGTGACTAATTACTGAGATATTTCCTCCCTTGGTGAGATGTGACTTATTACTGGAGATATTTCCTCCCTTGGTGAGATGTGACTAATTACTGAGATATTTCCTCCCTTGGTGAGATGTGACTAATTACTGAGATATTTCCTCCCTTGGTGAGATGTGACTAATTACTGGAGATATGTCCTCCCTTGGTGAGATGTGACTAATTACTGAGATATTTCCTCCCTTGGTGAGATGTGACTAATTACTGAGATATTTCCTCCCTTCGTGAAATGTGACTAATTACTGAGGTATTTCCTCCCTTGGTGAGATGTGACTAATTACTGAGATATTTCCTCCCTTGGTGAGATGTGACTAATTACTGAGATATTTCCTCCCTTGGTGAGATGTGACTAATTACTGAGGTATTTCCTCCCTTGGTGAAATGTGACTAATTACTTGAGATATTACCTCCCTTGGTGAGATGTGACTAGTGACTTGATACCGTTCCTCCAATGGGTGACGGTTTTGCTCAGTAATTATCCGTTCTGTTTCAATATCACAGGTTTTCTGGTTTTCCAAAAATTGCTCATTAAATTTAATCACCATTATTATCTTACCTAGAGAAATTGTGCTTCAAATGTACCGTAAAAATGTTTTTCTTGATTTTTGGCACTCTTAATCTAGGAATTTTATATCCAGGAACAGTTAAAATCATTACGATTCAAATTACATATATCTATCCACGACATGGTAACTTTTCGAGGAAAAAAAACCACAAAAATTGAGCTTTACGAAAACAAGTGATATACATCACAAACGACGTATCTACATCACAAACGATACATATAGATCACAAACGATACATATAGATCACAAACGATACATATACATCACAAACGATACATATACATCACAAACGATACATATACATCACAAACGATACATATACATCACAAACGATACATATACATCACAAACGATACATATACATCACAAACGATACATATACATCACAAACGATACATATACATCACAAACGATACATATACATCACAAACGATACATATACATCACAAACGATATATATACATCACAAACGATACATATACATCACAAACGATATATATACATCACAAACGATACATATACATCACAAACGATACATATATACGATCACATATACATCACAAACGATACATACATCACAAACGATACATATACATCACAAACGATACATATACATCACAAACGATATATATACATCACAAACGATATATATACATCACAAACGATACATATACATCACAAACGA